AACACAGCCGCTGGGGCCTTCGGTGGAGCTCCCTATGGGGCCTCGGAAACAAGTAAGGGGTGTGCTTGGCACGGCGGTGCCATGCGAAGGCAGCCACTGAGTCCTTCGATGGAAATGCCTAGGCCACACAACGTGTGAGGGGTGTGCCGAAATGGTTGCGGCGGTACCATGCGAACGCAGTCGCTGGGGCCTGCGACGGAGCTGCCTATGAGTGCCGAAATGGACATGCCGAGGGCAGAGGCAGGAATGGGAGGAGGGAGGAGGGCAACGGGAGGGAAGGAAGAAGACGCGGGGCGCTGTCTCATCAAAGCGAGGAATTACCAAGACATCCCCTGGAACACTAACTTTCCAGATCGATATGGGACTCAATGGGCCCGGGGGACGATAAGGTAATGGTTTGTACCTTTTTCGCGCTCCGTTCTCTTAACGTTTCCAGCGCCGTTTGTTTACACTTGTTTGGCGCCGTTGTTTTACCGTTTTCGTTTCCCTTCGTGGCGGCCTGGTCCAAACCACGGCTTGTCTATTGTACCAGATCCGAGCCGTTTTGGGGGAACTGGCTCCGAAAATCCTTCAGATCCCTGGACTGCCTACGTAGGTCTTTTCGGTGAACCGTTTGTGACACTGTTTCAGGCAACAGAATCTGTCTGAAATCGTTTTTCACAGCCTTGCCGTTTCCAGGGTCACAAAAATCTGGACATTGCTGGATCTACTTGGGCTGGTCTGGATCCGGCCAATTCGATTGGAAGGAGTTGCCAAGCCCGTAGAGACCACCCCTTGGAGGCCGCCAGGAGCCTGAGCCGCTTGCCACCAGCGGGCTCGAGATGGCCAAAAGGAAGGCATCGTCGACACAAGATCACCGCCGATATGATTTGCCCCACCCATCCCGTGGTGTTGGGTACTCGTTTTGAAGAGATAGCGCCCCACGTCTAGGTCCTCCTCCTCCTTTCTGCTCCTCCTCCTCCTCCTCCTTCTCCTCCTCCGTCTCCCCCTCCTCGTCCTCCTCCTCCTCCTCCTCCTCCTCCTCCTCCTTCTCCTGCTCCTCCTCCTCCTCTTCCTCCTCCTCCTCCTCCTCCCCCTCCTTCTCCTCCTCCTCCTCCTCCTCCTCCTGAACTCCTCCCCCTCCTTCAACATCTGCCCTCCGCACGACCATGTCGACACATCCCTCACACGCTTCGTGGCCCCATTGGCACATAGGGAGCTCCAGCTGAGGCCCAAATGTCGGGGTCCGCATAGCGTCGGTGCCTCTTTTCGGCACGCCGCTCGCACGTTTCGTAGCCCCATCTGCCACGGGCGAGCTCCGCCAACGGCGCCAGCACCAGCGCCCGCATGGCAGCACCTCCACATGCCGGCACACCCCTCGCACGGCTCTTGGCCCCGTAAGGATCTCCCCCTCCTGCGTCCCACCTGCCTCGCCGTGCGCACGCCTGCCTGAGGCTGGGCCCGTCCCCGAGACAACTTTCAGTCTGGGCGCCTATCCTCGACGTCGGCTTCCAGGGCCGGCTTGCGGGCCCGGGGGCCATCAAAGCGGACCGGGGACGAAATTCGCCCCCAGGAACACGGGACGTCTGGGGCCGCGCACAAGACGAAACAGGTCGTCGGATGCCCGGGACAGTCCAGCGCTGCCAGAGGTAGCCTCCAGAGCAGCCCCGCGTGGCCCAGGGGGCCTCACGTGCTCTTGCCCCGAGGGAGAGGAGGATGCAGAGGAGGCGGCGGATGCGGAGGACGACGAGCCTCAGGAAGCACAGCGCGGAACTGGACGAGCAGCCGCGCCAGAGGCTCGGAGTTCTCCGCGGGTCAGGGAGCCCGATGGCCACCCAGGGCCCCCGATCGGCAGACGAGCAGGTGGCCCGCAGTCAGAACTACGATCGGCGAAGAGGCGCGCTCCTCCTCCTCCTCCTCCTCCTCCTCCTCCTCCTCCTCCTCCGCCTCCTCCTCCTCCTCACTCCTCCTGCTTCTCCTTTCTGCCCTCTCCTCCTCCTCCTCCTCCTCCTCCTCCTCCTCCTCCTCCTCCTCCTCCTCCTCCTCCTCCCCCATCCCCTTTCCATGTAAACAACTCCTCCTCGCGCCGCCGAGGAGTGTCGGCAGGGCGGGCTGGGCGGTTCGCCCGAGACTTCCTCACCATTCCTGGTCCTGGGGCTTCACATGTGCAGCAGCTTCACGGATGGAGGGCGGGCCGTGGTCGACATTCGGCACTTGCCCCAGCGCCGGCCTGAAAAGGTTGCGACAGCTCCATACGTGGAGGGCGGGTCGTTTGCAAAAAGTGGCTCTCGCCGCAGCGCAGCGCACATGCGTCTCACAAGTTTACATCAGCTTCACGACGGCGGGAGGGCGGGCCGTGGTCCAAATTCGGCTCTCGCCCCAGCGGCGGTCGGAAAAGGTTGCAACAGTTCCATAGGTGGAGGGCGGGTCATTATCAAGAAGTGGATATCGCCGCAGCGCGGCGCACATTCGTCAAATAAGCTGGCACCAGCTTCACGGATCGATGGCGGGCCGTCGTCAAATTTCGGCTCTCGCCTCAACGGATTGGTGGCGGGTCGTTTTCAAAAAGTGGCTCTCGCCGCAGCGCCGCGCACATTCGTCTAACAAAGTTTACATCAGTTTTACGGATGGAGGGTGGGCCGTTTTCTAAATGTGGCTCTCGCCGCAACGACGCGCCCATTCGTCTTCAAAGGTTGCAGCGGTTGCACGGATGGAGGGCAGGACATTTCCAAAATGTGGCTCTGCTCGCAGCTTCACACACATGGATCGAACAAGCTTACATCAGCTTCAGGGATAGAGGGCGGGCCGTGGTCAATATTCGGCTCTCGCCCCCAGCGCTGCTTACATTCGTCTCAAGATGTTGCATCATATTTACGGATGGAGGGCGGATCGTTTTCAAAAAGTGGCTCTCGCAGCAGCGCCGTGCACATTCGTCGTAAAAGTTTGCAGCTGCTTTACGGATGGAGGCGGCTCCTTTTCAAAATATGACTATCCCACTAGCGCCGCGCACATTCGTCTTGAAAGTCTACAACGGTTTCAAGGACCCGTATCGTGTCGCAGGAATGGTGTCTTGGCACGGTTTAGGACTATCAAGGCGCAACAGTCACGTTGCTTCGCGGTATTGTAGCCCCAGGGACGGTGATCTGGCACAACTTAGGATTGCCAGGACGCAATAATCACGTTAACTCGCGGCGCTGAGGTCCTAGGAATTCTGTTCCGGCCAGATTGAGGATTCTCCAAAGGTTATCTTCCAACGGGACATTTCCCGTAACAAATGATTTCTGGAAGGGACCTACTAAGAGGGAGAATGGAGGAGGGTGTATCGTAACATCGTTGGTGCGCCCTGGGCATATTCTGGTCCTCCTCCTCATCCTCCTTCTCCTTCTCCTCCTCCTCCTCCTCCTCCTCCTCCTCCTCCTCCTCCTCCTCCTTCTCTGGGAAGCAAGAAGCAAGCCCTGCGAGCCCCGCCGGCTCGGAGGTTGCCAGACAGCTTCCATGGCCCAGGGTACCCCCGGCTCTCCGCGCCAGTCTGCAGCCCCCCCGGGGGAGCCTCCGGGCCTCGCGAGGGGTGCTCCCGAGGCCGTGGCAGGGAGATCCTGGGGCCACCCTGGGCCGGGGGGCACCTGCCGCAACACCCGACCCGGGGGCAGTCTCCCCTGGCCCTCTGCCAGCACGGCCTAATTATGGGAAGCGCTGCGGGGGGGAGGGGGAGGCGGAGGCACGCCCCAGTCCTCGTGGCGCACAAGGCTCCCCCGCCAGAGGCCGCCTCCCAGATGGGGTCCGAGGAGATGGGGTCGGAGGATCGCGCCGCATCGTCGATGCATCGCCGATACATCGCCGATGCATCGGCAATGCGTCGGCGACGCCAGCGTGGAGAAAATAGGCCTCCAAATGGAGCCGCATCGGCGACGCTTCGACGATGCAGCGCGATCCTCCGACCCCATGTACTCCGTCCCCATCTGGGAGGCCTAAGGAGGAGGAGGCGGCGGAGGAGGCGGAGGAGGAGGAGGCGGAGGCACGCCCCAGTCCTCATGGAGCACACGGCTCCCCCGCGTTCTGTGGGAGCTGAGAAAGGGGCCAACTATCGGGAGCGGTCTGTCCACCCCCACCTTCCTCCGAACGCAACAGACACCCGCGACGGGGGGTCCCTCTGGCACCCATCTGCCTCCCGGGGCCTTCGCTGGACCCGGGGCCGTCAGAGGGCGGCCCGCGATGAAAAGCCAGTGTCGACGAAAGGATCTAGACCCCCTGGGGGTTGGCGCCGTGAAGGAATCGCGGCGTCGGAAATCTGGGCTGTCCCAAGGCCTCCAGGGGGCGCCTGGTGCTGCCACGGCCAGGGCCCGGGCAGCCTCTGAGATCACGAACTGGTCAAATGCCGATCCTCCGCTACCTCGCTGGACTACGGGGAAGGGCGATGCTGACTGCCGCGACCGAGCGAACAGGCCAGCATGCAAGCAGGCATGCAAGCAGGTAAGCAGCGCCCTTCACAGAGAGGTACCCAAAGTGCATGGATGCACCATGACAGAAATCAGACTCTCCACTCGGATTTCCCACTCCTCATCCTCCTCCTCCTCCTCCTCCTCCTCGTCCTCGTCCTCCTCCTCCCAGTCGATCCTTAAGATCAGTCGCCCAGAAGGCAGCACGTCGTGCGGCGGGGCCAACTGCACGTCACCTGCGGAGCGACGCACCACCTGCACCGCCCCTTCCCAGAACCCCGACGTCGTGATTGATTCACGGCGTCGACCCCCAGGCCTGCGAATTATGGGAAGCCCATAGGTCGCCAGAAGCCCCCAGGGAGTCTGGCGACCTGTGGGTTTCCCATCATTCGGAGCTGCGGGGAACTCCCCAGGGAGTCCGGCGACCTGTGGGTTTCCCATCATTCGGAGCTGCGGGAAACTCATAGACAGACGCCTGCCGAGCTCTGGACCCATCCCCCGAGACCAGCTCTCCATCCTGAGCCGTCTCTTTCGACGGCCTCGACGCCCGGCAGGGGCCCCCGGAGGCCGAACACCCGTCGAGATCTGCTTTACGACCGTCAGGAGAGGACAGAGCTTTGCGATGGGATACCGAACGGGATGGGGAATCGCAGACCACAGACCGCAACACGCCACAGCAACGCCAGGGACCGATCCCTTTCGCTGCGCGCCCCACCTGGTCCCCCATGGTAGGCGTCAGCGCGCGCGCACCAGGCAGGTCGGGATGCCCCTGTGGTGACCCTGACTCTGCGCGGCAGCAGATGCCTGGAGGAGCAACAGCGACAGGCATCTCTAGGAACGACTACTCGTGGCCCGAGCAGAAAGGAGCCCCGCTTACCAGAGACGGCAAGGCGTGTGAGGGGTCAGGCAGTCCCCGTCCCACTCGTCCCCTCTCCGAGGATGTATGAAATCCGACCTGGCGGAGAGCACGAGCTCGCCAACGCACCTCCCAGGCCCTGAAGGCCCCCAAGATAGCCGAAGATGACCCAAATGCGGTAAAAGGTAGCCCAAGATGGCTGTCAAGATGGCCCCAGATGGCCCAGTATAACCCAGGACGCCCAGGATGGCCTCTACGATGGCCAAAAATAGCCCGAGTTGTTCCCAATAACCGCATGCTGCTGATAAAAAAGGGCCCCCCCTTAACACGCTAGAGTTGATTATCCACGGCCCATAAGAGTTTGGTCAGGGGCGCGGGGCGCGGAGGCCGAACTTGTTTTATCACTGTGAAGAGTTCACCATCGAGGTTAACTTCCTTCTTATGTTGAGATAGCATCATCAAGCGAAGCGAAGACGCGTTCGAGGATGTCTCAAGCGAAACCAACAATATTTGGAGGCAGCCTCAAGCAAAACGATCAATGTGTCAAGGATGTCTCAAGCGGAACCAACAATTATTCGAGGATGTCTCAAGCGAAGCGAGACTTGTCGATGAGAGACTTCCTCCTCCTCCTCCTCCTCCTCCTCCTCCGCCTCCTCCTCCTCCTCCTCCTCCTCCTCCTCCTCCTCCTCCTCTCCTCCTCCTCCTCCTCCTCCTCCTCCTCCTCCCTCCTCCCTCCTCCTCCTCCGCCTCCTCCTGCCTCCTGCCTCCTCCTCCTCCCTCCTCCTCCTCCTCCTCCGCCTCCTCCTCCTCCCTCCTCCTCCTCTTCACCCCTCCTCCTCCTCCTTCCTCCTCCTCCTCCTCCTTCCTCCTCCTCCCTCCTCCTCCCCTCCTCCTCCTCCTCCTCCCTCCCCTCCTCCTCTCCTCCTCCTCCTCCCCCCCTCCTCCTCCTCCTTCCTCCTCTCTCGCTTTCTTGTTCTCTCTCTGTATCTCTATCTCTATCTCTCTGCTCTCTCTCTCTCTCTCTCTCTCTCTCTTTCTCTCTCTATTCTCCTCCGGCCCCCCCTGAACTTGTTTTATCGCTATGGTTTACTACCCACGCAAACCGAGGCACATGAGGCACCCTACACGTGCAGATGAAAATCTTAAATTCCATTGTTTGCTTACAAATTAAATTCAACAGGTTTGGATATTTGGCTTTTCTCCTCCTCCCCCTCCTCCTCCTCCCCCTCCTCCTCCTCCTCCTCCTCCTCCTCCTCCTACTCCTCCTCCTCTCTCTCCCTCCTTCTGTCTGTCTATATTTCTCTACTTCTCTCTCTCTCTCTCTCTCTAACTATATGTATCTTTCTGTCTCCGTCTATCTCGCCGCCGTCGATCCTCGGATCTCGATCCTCGACTCTGGGATCTCGATCCTCGATCCTCGGACTTCGCTTCTCGATCCTCGATCCTCGGCTTTCGGTCCTCTTAACATCATCTCTTTCTCCTCCCACATGCTAGCCTCCGGTAGGCAACATGTATAATCCCCCCGCAACCCCGAACTTTATCCTCCCTGTGGCATTAATCTCGGGGGCACTCGGTTAGTTCTCCAAGGCAATCCAGCGAAATGGAAGGCCACGCAAAGAAATGCAGAGCAAGAAATGCAATTGAAAGCAACGCAATGCAGAACAAAGCCGAGCATAATGATGAAAAGCATCATTGCCAGTGGCGCACGCTATGGTGGTGCAAGCTGTGGGTGCTTTCGACGCAGTGCAATGTGTGAACCAGGGGGACTCCCCTCCCCCCTCCCCAAAAGCCCCCTCCCTCCCCGGCCAGGGGGGTGTGGGGGGTTCCAAACCGCCTCCCCCCCCCCCGCGCCAGCGCTGGCGCCGGCGCCGGCGCTGGCGCTGGCGGCGGGGACGCAGCGACGATGACCAGAGAGGGCCCAGAGGCCACACAGGGAAAACACAAATCGCCAGATCGAGCCCTCGCCACCAAAAAGCCACCTGAAGGCCCTTAGGAAGGTCAAGGAAGCTTCACAAACGCTCCCCAGACGCCCCCGGGACCCCCCCTGACGAGACCTCAAGAGGCATCCGTTATAAAACACGGTGGCGGGAAGACCCGAAGGCCACACCACTACCACAACCACTACAAACCACCACACCACCACCACCACCACCGCCACCGCCACCACCACCACCAAAACCACCACAACCCACCACCACCACAACCACCACAATCACCACAAACCAGTACACCACCACCACCACAAACGCCACCACCACCACCAACCACCACAACCCATCTCAACCCACCACAACCACCACCACCACCACCACCACAAACCACAAACCACCACACCACCATCACCACCACCACCGCCACCACCACCACAACCACCGCAACCCACCACCACCACCACAGACCACCACACCACCACAAACCACCACCACCACAACCACCACCACAACCGCCACCACCACCACTAGCACCACCACCAGAAGCACCACCACCACAACCAAAAACACAGCCAACCACCATCACCACCACAGACCAGGACGCCACGACCACCACCGCCGCCACCAACACTACCACCACCATCACCACCACGACAACCCACCACCAACACCACCACCAACCACCACACAACCACCACCACCACAGCCACCACCACCACCACAAAAACCCACCACCACCACCATCACAACAACCCACCACCACTACCACGACCACAAACCACCACACCACCACTACAACCATCACAAACCACTACACAACCAGCACCACCACCACCACCACCACAAACCATCAACACCACCACCACAACCACCACAACCACCACCACCACCACCACCACCACCGCCAACCACCACCACCACAACCCACCGCCACCACCACCACCGCCACAAACCACCACCACAACAAACCACCAGCACCACCAGCACCACCACCAGCAACATCACCACCACCATCGACACAACAGCCCACCACCAGAACCACTAGAACAACCACAAACAACCACGCCACCACAAGCACCACCGCCACAACCACGACCACCAACATCCCACCACAACCTACCACCTACCACCACCACAACCCACCACGACCACTTCCTCACCACCACCACCACAACAACCCATCACAACCACAACAACCCACCACCACTACCACCACCACAATCCACCACTCCGCTACCACCATCGCCACAACCACCACCACCACTACAACCACCACAACCCAACACCACCCACTCCTCACCTAACCACCACCACAACCACACACCACCACACACCACCACCACAAACCGACAAACCACACTGCAACCACCACACCCACACACCACCTACCTACCACCACCTCCGCCACCACCGCCCAACCACCACTCACCACCTACAACACTACCTCCAACACAACCACAAACCAAACCACACCACCACCACCACCGCCACCACCACCACCACCACCACCACCACCTCCACAACCCACCACAACCACCACCAACACAAACCACCATACCACCAGAAACCACCACCACCACCACAAACCACCACAAACCACCACAACAACCCACCACGACCACAACCGCCACCACCACCACAAACCACCACACCACAACCACCGCCACCACAAACCTTCATACCACTTTCACCACCACCACCAGCCACCACCACAACCATCACCACCACCACAACAAACCACCACCAGCAGCAGCACCACAACCACCACCACCGCCACCACCACCACCACAACCCACCACACCACTACCAACAAACACCACCACGACAACCACCACTCCCACCACCACACCACCACCTCCAGCCCTCCCACCATAGCTACATCCAACCACCAGCTTCACACCGATCCATCACCACCACCACCCACGACCACAACAACCACCACCACAATAAACCATCACACCACCACCACCACAACCACCACCACCGCCACCACCACCACCACAACCCACCAACACAACCCACCACCACCACCACAACCACAACCACCACCACCACCAAAAACCACCACACCACCACCACCACCGCCACCACAACCACCACCGCCACAACCTGCCACCACAACCACCGCCACCACCACAACCTGCCACCACAACCTGCCACCACAACCACCACCACAACCACCACAGCCTGCCACCACCACAACCACCACAACCTGCCACCACAACCTGCCACCACCACCACCACCGCCAGCCCACCACCACAATCACTTCAGAGAGGCACCAAGAGACGCCCAAGAGGCGCCCAGGAGGCTTCACAAATGCCTTTCAGAAGCCCCCGAAAGCCCTCCGACGAGACCCCAAGAGGCATCCATTAGGACTTTGACCCAAAACCCCGCCGCCGCCGCCAGCCGCCGCAGGCGCCGGCGCCGGCCCAGAAAAGGAAGTCGTCGTCTTCATCGACCTCCCCCGCCGCCGATGCCAGCCGCCGCCGACGCCGGCGCCGGCCCGAGGAGAGGGAGAGATGAGAAGTAGGAGAGGAGGGAGGGGGAGGGGTGGGGCGGGGGGGTTCGAACCCTCCCCCGTCCGGCACGGGAGGGCGGGGTGGGGGGTCGAAACCCCGCCCCCTTCAATCCAAGAGGGGGTAGGGGGTCCGGTTCCAAACCCCCCTTCCAAGCGCCCACAGAACGCGCTCTTTCGAAGCAACGTAACTCGTGCAATGCATATGGTGCGAGCTATGTGGCTCAACCCACGTAGTGCAATCCATGCGGTGCAAACCCTGCACCCCGCGCCCCAGCAGTCGAAGCCACCACGACGGCAAACCCCACGGCAAACCCGCCGCGCCCAAGGCGGCGCTGGCGATGGTGACCGAAGCGCCCTCCCCAAGACGACAGTTTGCGTGTCGGAGCAATTTTTATCCGTCGGCGGCGGCGAGGCAGAGGCGGTCCGCTCCAGCGTGTGGCAATTCGGGGCAACCGAATGGCGAATTGGCCGGCATGCAAGAGAGGGACAAGGTCGAGGGCGGCCGCGCGGGGGACGCGTCGGAACGCACGGCGCAGCGACTTAGGGGTGCAGGCTGCGTGGTGTCGTCTGCGCGGTGCCGCCTGCGCTGCGAACGCTGTGCCAACGCCGTCCGGCGCACGGGGCGGGCACGGGGCGGGCACGCGGGCGCCCACTGACCACAAGTCCGCCACCCTCCGCCGGCGCACGCGGCGGGCGCGGGGCGCCCGCTCCTACGGCCAATGCCCCCCCCCCCCTCAGGATCAAGGGTGGCGGTGGACTGACTGTGTTGCACCCCGCGGGTGCACAATCGGAGTTTGGGGGCGAGGGGGAGTGTCCACGAATTGCTTCCCTCCACCGTCGCTCTGTCGTCGTGCCACCTCTGCTGCACGACGGAAACCCAAACATGCGACTTCCTAATTTGTTCGATACGGGGTCCCTGGAAGTCCCGACCCTTTCCCCGGGACCAGTTTTTCGCCCTGACTCGTTTTTTGACGGCAACGTGGCCCAGTGAGGGCCCCGGGGGGCCGAAAATGGCAAAAAGCCTCCCGTCGTGACTTTTTCACAACGCGAGGGGGTCTGGGTCTGCTGCACGACGGAATATCCACACACCAAAAAAAACAACAGTGGATCAGGCATCGCCGGGGGCAGTTCAGAGAAGGAACCCAGACATGCTCGCGTCGTAAAAAAAACCGAGGGCGGGCGGTGTTTCACCATTGTTCGGCCTCGGGGGGCCCTCGCTGGGCCTCGGGGTCGTCAAAAAACAACTCAGGATGAAAAGCCGGTCCCGGGGAAAGGGTCGGGAGTTCCAGAGACCCCGTATCGAAAACATCAGGACGTCGCATGTCTGGGAGGGGGAGCTCAGAGGAAGAAAAGGTACCCATACCTCTACCCTTCGCCCGTTTTCCCCCTTTCGGGCCTCCTCGGAGGCCTCGCTGCCACCGCCGGATTCGCCACGACAGCCTGGTCAGGACGCACCGCGGGAGAGGTCCGAGGAGTAGCGGTATTGATACCGTCTGGTTTCCCCAGGTGCGAGGTGTGGTCAGCAAAGCAGAGCAAAGCAAAGCAGTGCAGGGCAACGCAGTGTCGAGCAGGGCGCGCCGGGTGTGAAGGGCGGTGCAGAGCAGCGCGGAGCAGCGCGGAGCAAGGCAGGGCCAACGAGTGCGAAGCGATTCGGTGCAAGGCACCAGCGATGACAGTTCAACGCAAGACAAGGAAAACAATGCAGAACAGCGCGTAGCATCGCAAAACAATGCAAGGCAAAGCGACGTACGGCTGGAAACAGAATGCAAAGCAGAACAACGCAGTCCAAGACAACGGAAAGCAATGCACCTCAAACAACACGCCAGCAGAGCGACGCAATGGCAAGCGATGAAAAGCAATGCAGCACGTGCAACGCAGTGCGATGGAAAGTATTCAGCTCGAGGCAACGCCAAGCAGTGCCACAGAATGCAGAGGCAACGCAAAGCCGCGCAGACCACGGCAGATCACACGAGCAGCGCCCGAAGACCGAGGACCCCGGCGTGAACGACACCTGTCGCACGGCCCCTCTGCACAGAGAGGCACGGAGAGACTCGGACCACGTGCGCCAGAGCCCGAGTGGGGAAACGATGGGCTCCCCTGGCAGCCCTAGCCCCTCCCGCCTCCGATGCCGCAGGCAGGCCTCGGTCTCCGGGAGCTGCTCGAGCAGCGGCAGGGAGAGCCAGGAGAAAGCCCAGCGAGGAGCCAAAAGGAGACCCTGGATAGACCCAGGAGGGCCCGAGAAGGCCCAAGATGGACCCGAAATTATCCCCCAGCGCCTCCGGCACGCGCGCGGAGGACACAGCACCATCAACCGCTCAGGTTGCCCCAAGAGGCGACCTGACTGCGAGATTTGCGTGCAAACGTCTCGCCTTGGTTGGCCAGAGCGCCCCAGAAGTTGACCGTTCGAGAATCATGCCCTCTATGCCCCTCGCCTCCTTCACTCCTGCACCTCCTCCTCCTCCTCCTCCTCCTCCTCCTCCTCCTCCTCCTCCTCCTCCCCGTCCTCCTCCTCCTCCTCCTCGTCCTCCTCCTCCTCCTCATCATCATCAGCATCAGCATCAGCATCAGCATCATCATCATTATCATTATCATCATCATCATCATCATCAGCATCATCATCATCATCATCATCAGCATCAGCATCAGCATCATCATCATCATCATCATCATCATCATCATCATCATCATCATCATCATCATCAGCCTCCTCCTCCTCCTCAACTTGACCCTCCTGGGGCAACAGGGCACCACGGGACATCGTCCCGAAACCCTTTTTTGGGGGGTCGATGGAATAGCGTAAGCCTCAAGGACAACGAACTAAGAGTGGTCGAAGCAACGGCACACATTGAAAACTGACCAAGTCGCCACATCAACAAAGCAGGATCAAGGACGAGGCCGAGAAGTTGGGCAGGCACGAATGGTGGGTGGCAGGATGCCAGCAACATTCAAAAGTACGCACGCAGCTAATTACATCGTGACATGCTGATGCATGGCGATGAAAGCGTCCCTCAGAGCACAAGCGGCGAATGCGTAGAAGCAAACAGCGCTCACTGAAAAGACTACTCGTTCGCTGATCTTCTGCCCGTTCAGCAAGGCGGCAGCCCCAACTGCCGACAGGGTCAGGAGAAAGAAGGCCAGACACGAGCCCATGAACACGGGGATCAGTGGCTGCGAGGCGTGCTGCCCGATCATGGCAATCTGCGTGCGATCGCCCCACTCGGCGATGAAGACGGCAACGAAGGCCTTGAGGATGACCCCAGTCTGGCCCTGGCTGGACTGGGCCGCCTTCAGCTGGCCCTTAGCCGCGCCGTAGGTTGGTGCAATCTCGCCCGCGTTGCCCTCCTCGCCCATGTCCTGTGCGCTCTGGGGACGACTGGGACGGGAGGAGAAGCCAAGAGGGAAGCTCGCTTCTTCTGCAAACTGTTTTTAGTGAAAGCCAAGGGAAGGAGAAGGGAGAGCTGGAGGAGAGCTCATGCGTGTTAGAATCCTCAAAACTGGCGTGCACACAGATCGTAGTCCAGCTCAGGTGTCTGTAACCAGCCCCCGTTGCCGATTCTGGCAGGAGCCACCCGATGCCGATTCAGAACGATCCGCCCCCGCACTTGCAGCGGTTGGTGTGTGTAGGTGTGTCGGGCCGTTCCGTGTCTTCGTTATCCCGCTTCTTAAAGCCCCCCGACGTGTCGAGATTAAGATGCGCTCAATCATATGAAAAAACTACGGCCTGTTTTGCTCACCTTGCAGACGATGGCCCCAGAAACGAGAAATGTGAGTAGCGACGCCCAGTGGCACCTTCCCCACCACCCCTGGGCACCCGCCTTCTGCGGCAACTCACGCGAGCCTCCGATACCATATTGCTGGCTCTTGCGAGTCGACACTCCTCGACGCTAATCGACGCTAGATCGACGCTAATCGAGGCAAAATCGACGCGACTTGACGCTTGTCGACGCTCACCGGCACTAAACGTGCACTATCTCGTCGATTAGCAGGCGCTCATCGACGCAAGTGCACTCTAAAGACGAGGGCACACAAGGCTCTCACGTTTTACTACCATGCCCGCCCCCGCCCCACACACGCACACACACACACACACACACTCGCCACC